AAAAAAAAAAAGAAAAAAACAGGGAATTTTTTTGAAAGCAGCAATAAACAACATATAAACTTGTAATTTTTAAAATTTTAAACACTTTTCCTGTTTATTTTTTACCGTCCAAAAAATATGATAATTTCAGTGGCATATAAATTTGTTTAAATATTTTAGTGAAAATGTCAGATACTATAAAACTGCGTCTATGAACAGCTGTTTACGCTAAATATAGAAAGATTGTTTTTAGGTTGTTTCCTTCTTTCTTTTTTTTTTTTTTTAAACTAGAACAAAGCACTAATTACTGCCCTTATCTTAGTTCAAAAAGAACAATAAAACCACTAAAAGAAAAAAAATTAATAAGAAGCAGAACTGTGCAGATGTAAAATGAAGTTTTTTTTTCCTTCTAAGAAATATTTATTATTCTTTTTCTGTGAAAACATTACATCTGTTTCTTTGACAAAACAACTGTGATCATATCAAAAAAAAAATGATCGTTTTTCCACCTGCAGCTCAAGAAAAGTTAAAGTTTTGCTTAGTTACAGTAATATATGAATAACCGTTTCTTACTTAATTGCTTTTATTTGAGACAATAAATTTATCAAGTCAAAATTTTGGCTTTTGGTTAGAGATCATTTGAAGAATTGAAATAAAAAGTTTACAAAAAAAATAAAATTAAAAAAAGAAAAACAAAAATAAGTTAAAAAAGGAAAAATTACAGTAATGGAATGAAAACAAAATTTCGCTTGGTAACAGTTTCACTGATCTGACTTATTCGGCTAAGAACAGGAAAGTGAGTGCGACGGACAAGCGAAACCGTGGAAAACTGTGAGACGGGATAGCGATTAATCATTGATACCGTGACAATTTTATTTGGTAAACTATTGCCAATGGTGGGCATAAAGATAAGGCAAAAAATTCTGCAAAAATAATGCTCCAGTTTTTAAGCCTATTCTTATACCTGCTAAAACTTTCTCGTTTTTTCCCCCTCAATTTCCGTGCTGTTTCTTTTCAACTTTTTGCAGTTTCCTGACTCATTGGCAAACAGTGCACGACAAAAGCGAACAAATTGGCGATTTAATGAGAAAAAAAAAAGAATTATAGCACTGAAAATATAGGTTTAATTTTGTTCCCATGTAGTAAAACTTAATGTGCTGGTGACTGAAAAACTGTCATGTTAAAAAAAAAAAAACAAAAGTTTATATGTTTTTAGGCAAAT